ATATATATATATATATATATACATACTCATACATATATGGGATAAATGTATGTGTAGATACTTACAAATAGGAACTGCGCAGGCGCATGGCGCGAATAAAATATAGTCAAATACAAAAACTAAATTACATTGCCATATTATATTAGTTATATTGGTACAAATTCGATATTACTGAAAGTTATTATCGCAATATTTAACAATCGCATGTTAATACTCTTTCGTAAACGCGTGAAAGTTCAAAAGTTGTTTCGATAAAAAGTTTCATAATGCACTTCACGTTAAAAAGCAATTGTTATTTCATGGAAATGGGATTGTATCAGGAAGAAAGAGAAATGGAAGAGAGGGTGAAGGGAGGAAGGGAGGAGGTGATCGTAGAGAATTAGTTGGGCAACATTAAGACACACGATCAAAAGAAGTTTTCTAAATTCAGCCATGAAATTAGCTTGACACTAATTTCACGAGGAAGCATGGGCAAGGCTAAGAAGCGAGGAAAAAGATTGGCCAAAGGGAAGGCATACCTCGCGTGATGCTTCATACCTGCTTCGCGTGTCGAAGTCTGATTTGCTTTGTTGAATCAAGTGTATACTGGCTCCTATATATATATATATTTCGCGAACAAAAGCGAACGAGATAGTGCATTTTCTCTTCTTTTATATCTCGTTATACCCACTCTGATTTCGTTATTTTCGTTAACAATTAAGATTTCCGATAAAATGTTTGAATAGTTTCTCTGATGGTGGATGCGGTAGTAGATATATTTTAAAATCAATATTTCAACTACGATTGTTAAAGTATTGTTATAACATTACTCATTCATTTATTCGTTCATTAATAATCAAACGAGTTAAATTTTCGTTTAAATAAAATACAATTGTAATTCCAATTTATCCATCTTGAGTTTAGTATACTACAGCTTATGAGTTCAATCATGCTGATTAATGCTTTCGATACATAATTGAAGCGAGCGTTGTTTGTACAACACAAATAAAGATTTATCGATATAACGCTCACACGTGCAAATGAAATTTGAATACGCCAGAATCTGATTATAAGCATTATCTACATATTTCAACTAAAAGTCAAATCTATTGAATAATCATTCGTCATATTCCGAATCGTCATAATCGAATTAAATATTTTTCGATGTCTTCGAGGCAAAATAAATAAAACTCCGATGAAAATCTGATTATCAAAATCACCGTTCAATATTTCAACACGCTTCTCGTGATACATACATATATATATATACATTCCAAATCGAGAAATTAATTACTTTAAATTTTCCCACTCCATCTGTATTAGTTTCAAATTCGCCGATTTGTCGGATCCATAGTGTTATGAATACGCGTTGTTGGGCCAAATCCATTACGTGTCCCCCAGGAATCGAATATCCCGCTAATATTTCGCCGGGCGGACAGTAATGGTAGATAGCCCGAATCCCGATTCCCAGGAAAAGGAAACTAGAATTTACATGGATTTCCTTTCGACGTTACGTCGCAATTTCTGTCCATCGTGTCGGAAACTAGCATAGCCCCGTCTGTTTCCCACGTTACCTTGTATGTTTGCCAGATAAGTGGAAAGCCAGTGACTCACTAGGTCTCAAACTTTTGCTGGATTTACGGAATCTCAAATTCGTGGTGAGCGTAAGCGGATCTCTCACCTCTTTGGTCAAACGAGTAAAGGTCAGCCTTGTCCTCGCGCGGATAAGGGCGGGGGATGTGTTGGGGGATAGGAAACTGGGAACAGGGATCCTCAGATCGGGGAGGGGGGACGATGGAGTTTGATGGCCCCGTAGAGAAAGTACGGATGTGGAGAAGGGATGAAAGAGGATGGAAGTAACCTCGCGTTTGCCACAGGGTGAACTGATGAACCGCCTAACAGTGTCGTCGCTGTTACACTGCTTGGTCCACAGAGCTGGAAAGCAAAGTTGCAACAACGTGGTATCTCGTTTCATCTCCCTTGCTTATTTCATTATCTCTCCTCGTTTGTACCTCGCGCTTTCATGCTTTCAACCGACGAGTTTCGACGAGCTTTGTTAACATGTGTTGTTATAAGGAATCATAATGATTCGTCCTTAAAAATTTCATCGACTCGATTTGCCACGTCTTAAGATTTGATCGATCGTTTAAAAAGAATTAATCTCTTTTCCTGTTCCAATGCTCCAACGGATTTACGGATGACACGTATAAAGAGTTTATACGTATTTAAATTAAATTTTAAATACAATCGAAGCTTGAAAATCTTCTCGTCAAATTATATTGCGTAATTCGATTGGTCGATCGAAACGAAACGAGGAGGAATTGAACGACACGAAAACGAGACGGAGAGGAAAAGTTCACGAACGGTTAATTCGTCAATCAAACGAAACTCGTATGCTCGACGCAGTTTACCTTAAAGGTTTGGTAAAATCAATACTCTCCGTAAGTTTCCTAATACGAAAAGCCCGTTAACGCGATATTATCGGCCCCTTTGAATACTAATTTCCACGGTATGCTGTGCGCCAGATAGGTGAGATTTTTTTTCGCGACGTTTTATCGGCCTGCCGCGATAATACGATGCACTTTTTTTTTTCTTTTTTTTTTTTTTTTTTTTTTTTTTCCATGTATCAAAGATTAATGAAAGCGTACGAAGGAGAAGCATAACGAATTTTTGATTAATAGCAGACATCAAATTGAAACACTCGGTTAACAATGAGTCCTAGGATCTGGTAAAATGCGTACATCGTATCATTTATATGGTAAAACAATCGATTGTTCTTGCGAAAACTACAATTTCCTGTAAGCTTAGATGTGAATGAATTTTTTTTTTTTTTTCTTTTCATTTTCATCCGGTATATTCTTATATACACCATTTACATTTATGTTTAGATAATATTTTTAATATTTCGAGAGCGAAACGCGCTTTATTTGCAGTCTTGATAATATTACGCGAGATGGTAATTACGTTTTGCTAGGGGTAGATTTTACTAGGGGAAGGAAAATTATATTTTATACTCTAGATACTTGTGTTAAACATTTGTTAATGTTCGTCAGTGAAAATTAGTTAATCGAATATTGTCTCATAATATATTCAAAAATAGTAGTAGAGAGTGCGTTTACGTAATTGACGCGTCGATACATCTTTTTTTTATTAAAATAATAACTATTCAATATTCATGAAAATTTACATTAATAAACTCGAGATACATTTCTCAGGAAATAAAATTGCCTGATATCGTACATCAATTAGACTTATCGCTCTATTGGAAATTAGTCCTCGTACGTTAGGGCCTCAGTTTCATAATTTATTAATAGAAAGTACTTCTGCAAATTAGAAAACTCAATCTATTAATGCCATATCCGTCCATGCTACCGGTGCTACCGTTTTAACCGTAGATTTTAAGGGGGAGCAGATCCTGCCATTCATTTCTTAGATCTTGTATGCTTGGGAAAATGTCCAATGTCTCACCACCCCTCGCAGACTTCCTTTGCGATTCCTTGGAAGTGCGACAAAATTACCTTCCCCTTTGCGCCGGCTGTTAATTAAATTTTTTCATCATTCTTTTCTCTCTTCCTGGCAGGCCGCCGCCATTAACGTCGAAGCCAATAAAATTTCTTTGCATTCGACTGTTTCACTTGTATCGTCCGTTATATCGACCATCGAATTTATTAATCGCGATACATTGCTCGTGTTAAATAAATTCTATTTTTCAAAAATATTTTTGTAACTTTTGAAACTTCTGAAAATAAAAAAAAAAAAAAAAAGAAAAGTTGAAGTCTCTTTCGCAATTGATTTTCTATTTCCTTGTGTCTATGTGTTCTATGTGTCTATTATATTCGCTTACATTCGAATTACAACAATGAGAGTCGAGAGGATTATCGAGAAAGTGATTCACGATGAAAAATAAAGATATAAAGAGGACGTGCAACGATATATCGCGTGAATAAAATCGTTTCCAAGTTTACGTAATCTTTTGTACGACGATAATGTCGAGCACGTGCCGTAATCTCTTATTTGACACATTGCACGTGTGCAACGGCTGCTGGATAAATTGTATTATCTGAAAATTTCTTTCAGGAATTGCTTCCGGTGATCGTGGCCACGTGCTTTCAAATTGCTCACAAATCACAACGATTTCATCGCTTCCCCTATGAGAAATAAAATTACACGGCCAATCGAGTCGGCCAAGTGAAAAATCTACAACAAATTCACGAACTTCTTCCTTTCCTTTCTTCTTACTTTGAATTTTTCAAAAAAAAAAAAAAAAAAAAAAAGAATGAAAAATATTCTCTCAAATATTTAAAAAATTTATCTAAAAAATTTTCGAAGTGTAATTTTTACTCGGGGAAATGCTCGAAACAAAATTTATCCTCCGATCTAAATTTAAAGATAACTTTGGTGGAAGATAAACGACGAGGAGAGGGGATTAATCGGATACAATGAATTTCCGCATGAACTGTATGAATTGCAAACTTTCCTCGAGCGGATAGACTCGATATCGTTCTCCCATCCGATCTTCTCCCCTCCCCCCTCCCCCTCAGAAGATTTTCTTAACTCCTTTCTAAGCCTTCGTACACACTCGATGAGGAGCCATCTTACTTTCCCTCTTCCTCGCTCGAAACTACTACTACGGCTCATTTTAGGCATGGATCGAGGATAGTTGACGTTTATACGTGTACGTGTCGCATCCATTCGCGTATCCTTCTCCCGTGTGAACTCTTATCCCCCCCTCTCCTCCCCACTCCGCGTAATCACACGAGCACGTGCTACGCAGCGAGACACGCCGGTCGTAGACAACTGTTCCACGGTCCTACGTGGGACTAGGTTTTGCATCCACTGATCGTTATTATTGACACGGGAATACAGTGAATATAGGGAGTGAATAGGTTGACAAATGGGGATTGGGCACGGCCCAGTCACGTGTCTGGAAGCGACGCGTATGCTTTTATCAATTGATTCTCTTCGTCGCGTTTCTATTCTTTGTGTTACGTATGTATGACATTGGCAACTGTTCCCGACTTCTGACTTTTCAAGGGGTCAGAGGAAGGGAAGAAGAAAGTTTGTTACGGAAATGATTTTCGATGGGATGTGAATGTATATATATATATTTGAAAGAGAGAGAGAGAGAGAATTTTTGGACGGTTTCCTCGAAAGAGGATACTACATTTTAAAGAGAGATAGCATATATGGATCGATACAGTACTGTTTAATCGTTTTTGAATTTTTGCAGCATTGAATACGTTGATTGAAATTGATTTGATCGTATAACAATGGAGATGGTAAAATAAACTGAAAAAGAAATTGAAAGTCGGAGAGTCGATTGAAATCAAGAATTAGAATTGTCTAGAAACGTGTGTACGTGTGTGAGAATGCATACGTGTACATAGATTCAACTACTACGAAGAAAAATTTCATCCCAATAATAGAAAGTTTTCAGTATTTATTTATTTATTTTTCTTTTTTAAATTATTAAAACGCGATGTTAAATATAAATTTTTTTACGTTGACACATCTCCGTGTAATACGAATGAACTTTCTTTTAATTTTCTTGGGTGATTTGTTTACAAAGAGTTTATTTATTCAATGCGGTATTTTTCCTTTGATGGCCTGCATCTTTTCTATCTAAACTATTTGTTTACAATCTAAGTATATAAATAATGTCGCGCCAGCCTTGAAAATTATCGCGAACGAGAGGAAAAAGATGGTAAAAGAAACCTCTGTAGAGCCGGTGAACCGCAGATACACAACAGATACGTAAAAGTGACCGGACCCCACTATCTCAGCATAAAAATTCAACTAGCTATCTCTGAAACATCGAAACAAACTGCAAGTCCAATGCTGGGGGTTGTAATCAAGTCTAGATGGTTCGTACTGATTGACAATTTTCCATGGCCTCTTCACCCTCCAATACCCTTTTTCTACCATAGCCAACCCTCACACTATCCATCACTTCAATACCCCTCTTTTGAAATCACGTTTCGTTTCTGTTGCATATAAAGCCGCGTTCATACTGATCATTACGAAATATACGCCAATGTATTATTGTACACACGTGCACGAATTAATCAGGATTGTACAAGTTCGTTCGAATCCGATATATTAATCGAATAAACGAAACTAGCTCGGAGAAAGCAGTTAAAGGAATTACTTACAGGTAAAAATGGATGGAATATTTTAAAAAGCCGATACGGTAAATGAAAAGCAATAAATAAATTGGTCGGGAACATATCCTTCAATCTCTCCAACTGTATAATATATATTTTTATATTTTTATTTCGTGGAAAATAAATACCTAAAAATAATCTAATTGAATGGATTTCGGTTTAAAATAAATATCGAGGAGATACGTTTATTAAAAATTTTAGAAG